ACCCAGAGAAAGGGAGGTTCGAGTTCTTCCCGGGAAAATGTTGATTTCTAAATGGTGGACAATGAGATTTCCCGACTTCTGAAGTATTTTTTAATGACTTTAATTTAAAAAACACCTCAGAAGTCGGGAAAGCTCATTTCCCGCCTTCTAGGAATCAAAATTTTCCTGGGGAAGAACCCCCGGACCCTCCTTTTTTTTTTGGGATTCATCTCATCGAAAAAATCGTATGCAACTACTCGATTTTTTTTTAAATGTATGCATACACACATAACAGGCCTATTTACCATAATGAGAAAGTTTACCTTACCGTTTTCATGAGGGGGAAAACCTTGAATTTTGAAGAACAAAGTCATTAGACACCTAGCTCAAAAGTCGAGAAAGGCCATTTCCCGCCATCTAGAAATCAAAATTTTCCCGGGAGAGGAATGTTGACCTCACCACCTAGATTTGATTCCAGATCTGCATGATTCATATTCCCATTCATCTTATAAACAGTGGCGTAACAGGCCCCCCCCCCCACTTTGAAAAACGTTCCGCCGGCCCTGTTAAAAGTACTAAAAACACAGATGTGACAAGAAGCAATTAGAAAGTAGCCAAGCCAGAGTTGTCAAACCACTTTTCATTGGATCGCCCATAATCATCAAAACAATTATCTGTGGTGGGCAATCAGGAAAGCTACGATGATGCCGTAGGCTATTAAAATGGCACAAGCGAGCAATTAATACGAAATCTTTAGTTGTGTTCTCCGCACAGAGACTAAAATAGTTCCCCACGTAATTTTCACTACGAACTCTGAACAGAATTTCAATAGATCCAACACAAATCTACAAGGTTATCTCCGTACTAATGGACTCAAAAATTAATCTATGTCTATCAAAATATTTAGCTTTATGTTACTATAGCTTAAAATTTATAAACGTTATAAATATGTAACTTTAAGGCGTCCACTGTCTGCCGATTGAATTGAAACAGACTCTATTAAGTACTATGTTTGTACACAGATAACGAATATCATTCTAACTGATAATAATTTTATTAATGTTGATCTGCATTTTTAGGTTGTTACAATTTTGTGAATGATACCATACTAATTCAAATATGTAAATACTGTCATGATATTAGCCTTTTTGTTATCGTGGGTTCCATTCTACAAAAACACAATGGACAGTGTACTAACTACTAATGTGTGGGAGGAGGTCGACCAGAGTATGTCTCGTAAGAAGCGAGATCCTGATCAGGACTTGGCGCTAAACAGGATGAATACACTTAAAAAACATACAGCTATGATACTTCATCGTGTTAGTGTTGTAAATAATGGACAGACAACCAACTTGTCTATGGCAGAGAGATCAATTGATAGGGCACAAAGAGCCAGCGATCGTCATGTTTCCAGGATGAAGGGACAGTTAAAACAAGAGCTTTTGGATATGGAAGCCTCCCGTCGAACATTCGGACAACATTCTCTATACGTAGGACGGCTGGAGAAAGAAGACGAAAAGAGAATGCTTCAGAAATTTGGACAAAGAGGAAAATATCAATATTCAATTCGATCAGAGATGAAGAAAGCAAAAAAAGTAATGGATTCGTACAACGTACGTGAAGAAAAGGCGAAGAGATTGTTGAAACCTGCTCGGCGAGCGAGTTTAGTTGCTTTAAACAATGCAGCAATGTCACTTGGAAGTGAACCGCCTAATGGGAACAAAGAACTAGAAATGAAAAATAGTAGCTTGTTACCATTAAACGACAGTGACATAAATAATGAAAATGAAGACTCGAGTATGACTGCTAGTAGAGTTGATGATACGGAGTTGGAAAGTGTCGTACAACATTTGTCTCCGGACTCGGTACTCAAGTCGAAACAAAAACCCGATTCTCAGAAACTGTCGGACATTATAGACGAGCTACAGACATTTCCTATACTTGATTGCAATCATGGAGATGATAGTAATTCCAAGGCAAACTCGCGAGAGGTAAAGCAGCTTAATATTAGTGTGGCACTGCCACCAATAAAGGTTCAACGAGCTTTAGTTCAAGCCCAAAACCAAGGATCATAGTCCGACATGGTTTAAAATACAATCGGTAAACGTTAAGATTACAATATGAGCCACGGACTGTTTCATATATAATTATATATACATAAGTGATGTGTTGTATGTCCTAGGTATCGTTAGAACTAGACTGCGTCATAAATATCAAAACAGGGGTTGACAGTATTTAAATATTTTATTTTCCTGAGGATTGCATCAGCGTAACTTGTTTACATTGCACTGAACTAAGTAGAATACAATAAAATATAGTTATCCCTTCGTGGTAAATTTGTAAATAACTGTTGTGTATATTGAACTAGGTTATGTCAAACCATTCATTGATGCTTGTCTACGATGCTCGCTTTATATTTCAATAGACATATATATATATATATATATATATATATATATATATATATATATATACATATATACACAAATAGATAATATATAGGCCTATATATACATAAATTATTCACATTAAACATAAGTACGCTGGCGATGTAACTTTGGTAGATACACAAATGCAAATAAATATGTGGTTGAAGCAGAGATCGACAGAACGGAAATTTTTATTCAAGAAATAAACTTGGCCTCAGTACTTCATCAGATACACATATAAATTGGAAAATGTAGATGAACAAACACATTAATTGTAAAATATATATGTATACATATAAATTGTAAAATTTATATATGCATATATAAATTTGTAAATTATTATATAGAATGTACCTATATATTTTTCCTGTTAGAAACCAGTTATACATTTTGAAAGAGCGCCATCAGCGTCTTTTTACATCGAGAAACTTTTCATTTTGTTGAATTTGGATCATGGGAAAAAGTGTACTACGGAACGCCATTTAGTGCAAAGAAGTAAAATGGAACGTCCCTGGCGCCACCAGAATCGATTATTTTTAATATTTTCACTAATTAAGACATGGAATCCAGTCTAGATTATGCATCACACTAAGTCCTTAAAAACGTGTATACATGCCGCGCGGTAATATTTTGTAATTTAATAGTTTCATGCATCTAATCAATACAATACTCAATAAAAAAAAACTTTGGATTATTATTGTTAAGTAAATACTGTAAAACATACAGTAACAAAATTTAAATATTGTGTATAATTTACAAGAAAAGAAGCTAAAATAAAGCCGGAAAAAAAAAACTTAGTGTTTATTTAAGTGTATATATAAAAATATAGTTTTTCTTATACAGTGACATTTATAATTGAAAAATATCTAAAAAGTATTAAAAGGTTTTTTTTTTAGATTGAAAACCTTTCACTACATAGACCTTTGAATTACTTTCGATCCAATTTAAGGGTCTATGCAAAAATATAATGAACACAAAGTACATGCTCGTTTAGGATGTACTGTCTGCAAAAAGAAATCGGCAAAACTTACGAAACTTCAACTAAACCTAAACACAATCAAATGTAGGAATCTATACAAAGAATAAAACAAAAGTAAAAGTTCACTGTCTGTTAACAAAATTAGACAATTCAAATATGGAATAAAATTGTACATCTTGACTTAGCATTCACTTAAGCCGGACACTCACTGCATCGTAAGACGGTCCGACGACCGTCGGACACCGAATCCACGTTTGCTTCTGACGAGCGATAGACGACACAACGCCGTCTGCTGATTGTCAGTGGCAATCTGAACAGATCCACATTAAAAAGACGATCCGTTGGGTCCGCGCCTTCGCGTGCGTTCTTTGTCGCATTGCCGTCGCGTCGTCGTCGCATGCAGTGAGTAACCGGCTTTACAGATTTTGAATGGTCTCAGGGTTCGGTCTTCAATTAGAGGGTTAGCTTTGTGTTAGAAGTTTGAAGATTGTTAATTGGTTTGTTGAAAAACCAATTAATTGGTGGGGTTAGTGGGGTCACGGAATCAGAGGGGTCTCTAAATGGATGGTGCACTGTATTTATTTGGGCAAGGCACTTTATCTACAACGGTTGCCTCTCTCCACCCAGGAGTACAAGTGGGTACCTGGTAGGTCCGAACACAACTGCGCTGATTACTAGCTGCAATATTATGGAATTCTCCCCAGGGAGCTGAGTATGTGTTCTATATGTGTTTGATCCAATGACCGGGGTAGTAATGTGAAGCTCTTAGAGGCATTGTGCATGAAGCGCTATATAAGAGCGATATATTATTATTATTATTATTATTATTTGAAGGCTAATAACTTATTTAAAATTAATATACAAAGTTCAATTGTAACTCCCTTATTTTTTAGTACAACCCAGAAATATCTCAAATTACAATTCAACTTAAAAATAAACCTAAACAATAATTAATTTATATTTGATATGCCTGTATAGCACACATAACAGCAGAAGATGCAGGGTGAAAATATTTTATTTTTTACTCCAAAAATTTAAAATACTTAAGTAATTTTCTATTATGAGAATGAATAAATATAATACATTACATTTCTTGTTCTTCTGTATTAAGTAATAAGATTCAATTTCTGATAGCAATACCAGCAATAAGTACTATTAAGTAACAATTTAATTAAGTAACAATTAACAACAATAATTTTAAACAATAATTAGGGAGGTTTTAAACTTAAATAAACAGATAACATATAAGAATAATGTTAAAATATCATGGTCACAGACTTAATTGATCAGAATGTTAAGTAGGTATATACACGTACTTACTTTTAAGCCAGTCAAGTGGCTTGGCTCAACGATTAATTCAGGGAAGCTGTATTAAACACACGACCTCATGGTTTGGGTGGTATAACCAGTTTCCTCAGATAAGGACTATAAACTGTAGGCCCATTTTTGAAGATCCCAGGATACAGTATAATTAAAGAAGAGAAAATTGGGGTACTTCTGCTGTTGCCTGGACCTGAAACAAACTGACACGATGGGGACATTTTGGGGAGGAGAAAGTTGGAATGAGATTGTCCAAATACTTTGTGACCATAAGCATGCTAAACAAATATTTGCAACAATTCAACATTTATGTTTAAAATAAATCCAATATCTAATGAGAATTACGGTATGGTTGATAATTCTCATGAAACACAGACACAATGCGAAAGATATGAGGCATTTGTTAACATGAGTAATAAAAATGTGCAATATACTTTAGTACAGAGAAGCTGTAAACATTTACTCATAACTTGCGCAATAGTTAACAGATTACAGTAAATGACCCATAATTTTAAACTTCTAACATAAAGAATATAGATATATTAAAAAGTCAATCTTCTTGTTTAGGTTTGGTCATGGATGCTGATTTTGGAATGTCATGCTTCATATGAATATGAAACATTCTCAACAAAAACAACAGCTCTCTTTAGAACTATCTACGTGGTGTACCGCGTCACTACTACTCACGTACTAGTCACCAATTCTTCCCAATTCCTAGTTACCATCCCCCTCCATTTATAAAATATTTCACACTTGCTTCATCCTTACTTTTACTCTTTAAAAAATTTGTCATTTTTTTAAATCAAACTTCTTTCATGATATTGTGGAAAGACAATGAATCGAACCAAGAGAGAGTCTTTATCTTGATTTTTCCGTTGTCAGCCTTGGCATATATCTTGTTGCTATTGGCACAGTGACTTATGACACCTACAGTAGAAATAAAATGAAACAATAATTATAAACACTCATATGAAAGATATTAAAACATCCTTTTACAAAAATTCCCATGTTATCATACAAAAAATGACAATGTCAATGCATGATAATTATAATAACATTAATATTATATAATAAAACCAATAATAATAAAAGTGGTGTGAAATAGCTTGTATACTACTGTAACTTCCACTTGCATAACAGAAGACACAACCGAAATACTTTCTAGCACTTTGAGGCACTAAATAAAGGCTTGCTAAAACATGATAAAGAAAAAGCTCAAGCTAAACTGACCATCCTATCCTATATACAGCTGAGAAAAAAGATACAAAAAATTACATAGAACAAAATGGGTAGATTTTAAGCCTCATCTTTTAAATACAGAAATCGATGGGGACTTACATGCACCATCACATAGCACATTCCATAAGTTTGAGGCAGCATTGACATTAATAATTGTACGCCATTAGATAAATTTTAAACGGCTTGGTAGATGGATCTTAATATGAGCATATGCAGCAGTGCTTAATTGATTAAGATATGACATATCTTTCTTTAAGTGTTGAGTGATGAAGAAATTTAACAAAAATTAAAATCTTAAATTCAATGCACTTTTCATGGGTAACCAAAAGAAAAGGTGTTTTATGGGGATGATGTGTTGGGATAAAAGAATGCTGGTAAAGTGTCAAAAACACAGTGCACATTATAGATCTCTAAAATACTCAAGAAAATTATATACAGTTACACAGGTTCTGTTCCATGTAATATCAAAAATATTCCAAACACTAAATGTGAAATAAGACCAAGAACACAGAGATTGGAAGGCATGTTATAAATGCTACTGTAAATAGTTATACACACTCGACAATACAGAATACCGAATCCTTCAGCCTTACCTGTTACTTTCATCTTCCCTTCAATTTGTTCCCGAGTGCAATCAGCGAACTGTGGCTTATCCGGTATGGTGATCTCACGACCGTCAAGTTCCACATAAGTTTTCAGCTCATTCGGTACCTTGACTACAATGTCTCCTGTAACATTACAAGTAAATTATTTCAATCATTTTATTAAGTTTATACACAATAATGAAGCTTCATTGCAATGGATCTTTCGGGCGTGTCAAACTTGAACACTGATCAAAATTTTATTTGTTAACTTTTTTTCTCTTTTGTGGTGGATTCACCACATTTAATCATCATAATCATAATACTTTGTTTATTACATATTATGTTCAATCTAAATGAGTACATTTGGTTTTGTTAATACCCACACTATTTGTTAATACATATTCTTTAGCATAGTTTATTCTATGCTTTCATCATGTATAATATAATATATTTCTTTTATATTTTCAGAAAATTTACTAATATTTTTACTTTATTTGTAAATTTTTAGCTTTTTCTAATTATGTACATAGTGATTTTACATGTTTTACAATATCATTCATTTGTATAAAATAGATCTCATACATTTTTCTACACATTTAAAACATCTCTTAAATACAAAAAAATAAAAAAATAAAAAATCCTGAACTACACAATCAGAGTAGGCCCAAAGTTTCAACATCATATTTGAAAACAAAAATATATTTTTAGTCAATTTTCTTTTTTTTTTCTTTTTTTACTTGTTAACTTTGTATATTTAGTTATTGCATTCAATTAAAAATATGAATGATAAAAAAAATTCCTTAAGTGGATGAAAATAATACATTAAAAATGCATTATATTAATGCATTATTTTTCATAGATAGCTGTCAATCAATATAAGGATATTGGTAGTAAAACACTACAGTGTAACTCAACACAACAATTGTTTTGATTTGTATTTCATTTAATGTTATTAATTTATTTAATCATATTAAGTGAGAAATTTCATTTAAGCAATTTAGTTTTTACAAGATTTTTAAGAGAAAACATAATAATAAAACCAAGGAACAATACCCATTTGTGGCCTAAAAGTGGAGTGTCAACAACTACGTAGGATGTATTAAGTTCTAATTTTCGCATGCTCTAATACTTTTTCTGTGAACTTCAAGCGGAACCTAACTTACCCTCACTATTGTTGATGTATATATCTTTGTGCCTGATTGCATAAACATCAAGTGATCCTCTTGTCAGCTCTGAATGTAACGATCCATCTAGACTGCCTAAGTTAAAACATAAATATATATTCCATTAGGTTTATGTTATCAATATGTAAATGTGGGAGAACATCTAAAGCTGATTTTTATGTTGTAATTTCAAACTCATTTTTTCTCTTGTCATATTCTTGATTTAAAACCTTCCTTTTAGTAATAAATATAAATTACTTGTATATTGTTTGATCTTGATGTACAAAATACTTGGATTGAACACTTACATTGGACAAAAAAAAACTACCCAGTACTTGGTTTAATAATTTAACTTATTTTATCCAATTTTTATAGAGAATAACCTATGCAGAGAGCTGATAAGAGCATTGTTTGATTTTGGGCAAACAAGTTCTTTCGCCAAAAAACAAGTAGCAAAGTACATGGTTTGACCTTTATATAAAATACATAAAACTGCACATATGTATTGTGTATTGTGGTTTCTAAAGGTATGTCAGACAACAGGTAGCCTTTATTCTCCAGCCCATGAACTGTAATTAGACAGAAGGTGCTAGACAGTGGCAAAATCCTGGAGTATTGACATGGGATGGGGAGTGCCGATTGTTAAATAAGGGGTTAACCTGTAAAAATATGGCTACTTTTTTAATAATTAATTACTCATAGTTGTAGGTTAAAATTTAATTGTTACTTTGAATTTTAGAATATTTATATTTTGTAAATATTTTTTTTCTAATTATAATGTAGGTTTATCCTTTTGTGTTGTATAATTTTGTATCCACATTTAGTATTTGAATATTGTAATATTAATTTATTTGTAATTACTCGTAATTCTTGTGTATTTCAGAATAGGTATTTGTTATTTTCTTCTATATGGTGATCCTGGTTTATACTTTATATATGCGTATTGCCATGCAGGGCATTATAGCTTAATTGTGTGCCACTTTGCAATTGCAGTTTTTTAACACTGCAATAAATAAATTAAAAATTGAGCGGAATTATTTTGCCAACAAATTTTCAGTGAGAGGCATGCAAGCTTCTTTTGGAGGCGAATGTATCCCCCCGGCTCCTTTCAGTGGCAGCTCGAGTATACATTTTTTTTAAATAGGGACCTCTGGGGCCAGAAATGGCACTCTACTACTAGGTGTAGGCCTATTTCTAAATGTTTATTTTTTGTTTTGTTTTTTTGGTATGACTGCCCGACAAGCTCAGCAGGTATGGGGGGGAAGCTCGCCTTGTCCGATGGGGGAGCTAAGCCCCCTGCCCCCACTGGCGCCACCACCGGCACTAGTGCTAGAAGTAGACATCTTTTATGATTTTGTTTAAATTGATCTGAATTTCTGCCCTCACACATACCAATTTTAATGTTTCCTTCCTTGCTTTTTAGGTTGCATTCTCCATGGAGGTTTCCCGTTATTATGTCTCCACTTTCGCTTTGCATTGTTGTTGCGTTTGCATAAATATCACTGCATGTTATCGTCCCATCCTCCGATGTTAGTTTCACCACATGACCTTGGATTTTACCAGTTTTGATTTCCTGGCAAACAAAAAAATTAATATAACAATATAACTACAAAAAAATCATGTGTAAAAATATGGTTTTTGAGGTAAAACCACTGGTTGGTCATACATGGTGTACCGAAAGTTCATCAGAATTAACATTTTTAAAATGTCAACATCATTATCAAAATCTTTATATTCATAATAATCATTGTAATTTGTAGAAATTGAACTTACACCTTCACCTCTAGTAGTCAACGAAACATTTCCTAGAAGAGATTTCACACTGACAATACTTCCCCCTTGTGTAGATGCAGTCACCTGACCTGTCTGTAAAAAATAATATAAACATAAACTTTTTAGATTGCTACTATTAATACAAATATTTGCACCTTATCATCATCATATCCAACCCTTTTAGGTTCCTCAGATCACCGTATTTAAAGCTGGACAGTCACTGCAACCAACGGTCGTTGGTCCACATGATTCTATGGAGAATGGAACGCCACAAGCGCAATGGATCATTCTTAATGAAGTTTCTTTCAGACTGCCATTGTAAATAAGCAGACGGCGTTGTGTCGTTCAACACTCACAGAGAGCCTAGTTGGATTCATTGGCCATACACCTCGGTGAGCGCCCGGCTTTATTGCTTACCTTCAAGGATTTCATAACACAGTCACCTCGTTCTGTTTCTAAATCACAATTTTGGTTCTCAAATTTTTCAACACAAACATGTCCTAATCCAGTGGTTTTAAGATGTAAATCTGAAATCATTGAATGTATAATGTGGTAATTAACATTAGAAAGCACATGTGGTATTTACAAAGAAGAAAAGATGATAAGACAACCTTGTTTTTTTTTTAACCTACATAGTTATGTGATATGACATTTTTTTTAATTGTATAATTAAACTAAAAATGTATTCACTTACAGATGGATTTACTGTACAGTTTAAGAAAGAATGTGGTCCAGGGTTAAAAATGTTCCAACCCACTAATTATTATATTCCAAGATCAAAATTATCAACAGTATTTCGCATGCAGCAACTTTTTCTGCTGGTTGGTCCATAGTGCAACCTTCAGTCGGGACAAAATTGGTCGGACAGACTAACTCTAATCCTCTGAAATTTAGCCAATGACTTACTAACTACATTAGGCCTAAAAATCTGTTGTTTTGGAAAATAAGGGCTGATTTCTGTACACATTTTGTTGAAAATTAGGATCTGACCTAACATCATGGTTTACAACAATGTTTTGCAGTAGTTACGATTCTGCGCACCTATTCCTAGAGATTGTCCACGTAAATTTGCGCTAGTTTTTGATGTATCAATTAAAATATTATACTAATACTAAGTATTGTATAACATAATACTTTTATTATAGAGGAGGTATTGGTAGGGCAAGGGCTTAAATTTTAAACTTAAAATGAAGTGGAGGTAAATTTAATCTTTAGTCTTAAAAAAATTGTATATATTTTTGTTGCTATATAGTAAGGCCTGTGCGGGCAATAATATTTTCCATGCAAAACTTTGGCTTAGAAATACATCTGCGCATTTTGGAAAATAAGGGCCGATTTCCGGGCAGACTTTGCCGAAAATTAGGCTTTGAACAAATCTTAATATTATAACCAATGCAATTATGCAGCATAATTCCACCCACCTATTTCGCAAGCGATTTTTCACACAAATTTAAGCTGATTTTTTTAGATATCCTCCGCACAATTAAAAACCTTTTACAGTATCATATATGGCCAAGGACTAGACAGACTTGGGTATTATATAGATGAAGGACAATAAGTGATTTTACTTATTACATGTCAACTTACCAAAACTCATTGGAATCTCGACATACCAGCCTAAAATAAGAGAATTATTATCAAAGTTCTGAACTTGTTCCTCATTTAGAAAACCACCTTCAATCGCAAGAACATGATCATCATTCAGGCTAACATCAGCAGAGCATGACTCTTTAAATGTATGTTTAATAAAATTCGACAGTTTATCGCCAGAAATTGGCGACCGTAATAACAAATGAACAAAGATTCGGTCCGATGACGGGAATTCGATGGGATTCAGGGGGACCACTCGCATCGGAAAACTTGTGTTGCTGATGATTTTACCAAAAGAGTTATTAAGCTCAAAGGCCCAGGACCTAATTTTAGCAGTTTGATCATTATCTGCTGTTTCAGTGCTAGTAGTAGTATATGAGCGCTCACCAACAGTGCGGCTACTGATATTGCTAAGCCCGGGCCGTAACATATGGCTGAAGTTCACAGGCGACTGGTGCAGTTTTTCCTGCGGCATAACGTATGAGGCGGCGACACGTTGTCGGCACAGCCGAGGCCTAGACAAATCCCAACTAGGCCTAGGCCTAGTTTGTGTAGAACCATATCCACATCTGTGATCTGCAATCATTACAGATGGTTTCGAATGCTTGATTATGCGGTAGAGACGATGCATTTTACAAAAAAAACAACAAGAAAAACATCAAATAAAACAATATAAATGTTTTTGCTAGCCTCGTTCCTCCCCACACGTGTACTACTTGTCTACGTGTAAACAAATACAAAAAGATGATTGGTTAATCCAATAAACAGTGCCTAGATAAGTTTAACGTTTGACATCCTTGGCCGACTTACAAATTTGGTATGACGCGCACTGAACGCAATTGTTTCACTGAGAGCCCAAATTTACGGAATGGGTATCGTTATTATTATTATCGTTCTTATAATGTTATTAATATTAATAATCTTGTAATTATTATTCTTATTATTGTATTATCTGAGCCACATTTTCAAATTCTAAATTAAATCAATCAGTGAATCAATAAACAATCAATCAATTACAGTAGCAATAATAATCAATAAGTCAATCATATAAACTGATAAATTAACTTAGTGTCGGTTTCACAGGGACTTCGCCCCTACCCCGTGAATTCGGTCTCCTACCTCTACTTTAAATGCTAAGTCTGTCACAGTTGTCCACATAACGGCTTTTCTTACCACTTACTGGTATTCTCACATTATTGTCCTTTTTAATGCTTTTTGTAGTTTCTGAATATTCAAATCTTATACTTCTAACTTTTAATTTTTATTTAACTTGTTCAAACATAAATTTCAATACAAAATAACTACAAAAGTAACGAAAGCTTGGAAGTAAAGTAAGCTATATTTTATTTCAAATAGGCCTAATTCCAATACATTAATAATCACTTGATATAACCTGATGATGAAGGGCGATGCCCGAAAACTTTCGTGTACTCAATGAACTACTTCTGGCAATACTAGACAC